TGTTGTTGTTGTTTTGGTTTGTTTTTGTTTAAAATTTTGGTGAAATTTGTTTTAAATTTTTTTTTTAAGGGTTTGGTTGTTTTCTCACAGTTGGTGAATTCTGTTTTAAAAAAATGGTGATTTTTTTTAAAAAGATTTGATTTGTTTTAGGGATTTTTTTTTTTTTTGGAAAGGATGAGAAATGAGGGAGGAAAGGAAGGAAATCAATTGGTTTTGGGGCAGTTGGCAGATTTCGCAGTTGTCAGATTTGGCAACTGCTATATAAAATCATTGGAGAACCCTTTTTCACCAAAAACTGCTATATTATAATTTTGACAGCTCCAATAACAAATCAATGAAGATGCTCTACAAACTAAAAATAACTTTGACAAAGCTTTTTTAACTGAGGCTATTGTAGATACACTTACATTTTACGAAGGAAGCGTCCCTCTTTTTTACTAATTGCACCTGATTTTCATATTTGTGCAAGTTATTTGAAAATTATGTAATATGGACCGTTGAGCATTGCAAAAAACCCCTCTGTAATCACAGCAAAATTTGTGCATTAATATGGGTGAGGGTGTAGGTGTGGAGTGAGAAGCCAAACAAAAATTAATGAGGTAAATTATAAATATATTCTTTGAAATTTATTTAAGAAATAAATTATTTTTTATAATTATAAAAATTATAAATATTCATTTGTTATTATTTTTTATTTTAATAGAATTATCAGAAAAAAATTAGAAAAAAATAAAAATTTTCACTATTCTTCTATATAATAATAAAATTACATAAATTATTAATTGAAATATATTATTAACATTATTCAAATTATTAATTAATTTGATAATTTATTAATAAAATGAATCATTTGTTATGTGAATAAAAATTTGAAGGGGTGGTGGGATGTAATTTTCATAACTACAATAGACAATCGGTATTTTGAGAATAGATTATTTTAGTAATTTTTTTGACTTTTTACAAAAATATATACAGAAAAGTAGAAATATGATGTTACCTAAAAAAGATAAAAAGACAAAAAGTGTGTTATTTTAGTAGCATCCCAAACAATCCCTAAATCTTACAATATGGTCTCGTTTGTTTGGCAAATTAAGTTAGATAGGATTATGAGTACAGTGAGATTGAATGAAAAGATTATTAGAGTGATGGTATTAGGTTGTAGATATAAGACAAAATATGTTTGTTTGTATATTAGTGTGATGATATTAGTTAATTATGATTAAATCTGTAAAATTACCTAAAAACCCTCATTACATATAATATAGATTTTGTTGGTTTTGTAAAGTGATCGGCAAAATAGTAATTTAGCCATTAATTTGTGTGAAGGGATTAGCTATCTCAACCCTCCCATAGGAATGCTAATCCCACCAAGGAAAAAGATTCATAATTCCATGACATTTTTTTGCACACAAACATGGATTTGATAGATTCCACGGATTGATAATTCAATCCTCCCTCCCAAACCCTCAATCAAACATGGCCTATAGTCTTACAACATTCCTATTTCTATAAAATGAATAAACAATAGGGGTATTTTTTTTAAGGTCCCTGATATTATGATTTTACAGTATAAAGGACATCAAATATTTTCATGATGTCTAAGGTCCCTCAACATCAATCCAGAGAAAATTGGTCCAGAGAAAATTCAAACCAGAGAAAATTGATCAAGAGAAATTTTCCTTAGCCTTTCATGGACTCTAGAGAAATTTTCAAATTTCTCTGCCGTGAGTTTGATCCTCCACTATTGTTGCTACTGTTGTTACCATCTCCACTGCCACTCGACTCCGGAGACCCAAATGCCCCAACTGTGGCACAAGTCTTTAAGTAGGAATGCTTCCCTATATTAAAACTATGAAGCTTTTTATCAGATTCCAAATCAAATTTTTAGAGAAAATTCTATCCAGAAAATTTCTCTGGACATCACAGAGAAAATTTCAAATTTCTCTGAACAAATCACATAAAAAATTTCAAAATTCTATCCACTATAGAACCAATCGATCTTGCGGTGACTTGGATACATATTCACAGAGAAAATCTCATCACCAGAGAATTTCTCTAGATTTAAAACCAGAGAAATTTTCTGCATCACCAAAAAAAAAAAAAAAAAGCCAACAACAACAACCCAGAGATATTCTGTGTTTGGTCTTTGAAATTTCTCTGGACACTTCAACTCAGAGCTAGACAGGAACAATCTCATCAAAAAAATAAAAAAGAAAGAAAGAAAAGATTATAAAATGATTAAAAAAAATAGTGAAGAAGATATTAAACGATCACATTATCTAAATACATCCACGCAAGGTCCACTAATGACAAAAGGAAAATAAGTAGTTGCTTGCCTTAGAATTTGAACCTCTGGCTACTTTTCGATTAGCTTCTGTTTTTTCACATCTCTTTTCCTCCTCTTGTGGACAATCATAAAGAAGCAATATAAACACATTTTTTCTCCCATGAGTTGAAGCAGTACGCAAAATAACAAAATAACCTGAGAATTTCTTTGGACCCAGACAAATTCTCCAAAGAAATTCTGAAAATTTGCCAGAGAAATTCTTTGCCTTTGCTAGAGAAATTCTTTGCCTTTCCCAGAGAAATACATAATCCAATAAGATAATTTAGTAAGAGATGAAGTCTAAACAACAAGCTAGACAGGAACAATTTTCAACTAGCTTCTGCTTTATAACCAAGTGTGCAATATGATCATGCAAACAACAAAACCATGTGCAATGGGCCATGAACTAAACAAGTAAGCATGCAAGGCATATAACATCAATGTTAATGACACACATGCAACAGCATGAAAGGCATAACACATGTAAATATGCAAAGCAACTCAATACAAGAAGCATGCCAAATGCAATGGCACTTAAACATACAACATGTTAATAGACTAAGTACCTAAACATACAAACATATATAGCATGCAACAACATACTAAAGGGATGGTCTTAAACTAATTTGGATAGCTCTCTACTAGGTCCAAAACAGTGGCCACAATGATGCAAGTGAGGCAACAAAATACATGGAATGCATGCACAATGCATTAACCAAGCTTAAGGCACAAAAATGCAACTCTACCAAAGCATGGCAAGGAGGAAATATGGCATACAATGGTGCATGTTTCAGATCTGAAATGGCATACCAAATGACTCCAAAGTGACCCCAAAACATGAAAACACTGCCATTTAAGCATGCAAGAAGCTTCAAAACTCAAAGCTAGGCATGGGCATTGCACTACAAGCATGCATAACAAGCGTTATTCGGCCATGAGGCATGAAAACAGTGCTAAGGCAGTCCAAAACATGCATGAAATCAGTTCAAGGCATGGCCAAAAAGTGCTAACATGAAGGGCCAAAACAACATGCAACATAGGCTAGTAAACATGGTTTATACTACATGTATATGAAGCATAAGAGAGGTCACCAAACCAGCCCAAAACAGTAACATGGTATGCCAAATAAGCCCCAAAAACCCATGGAAACAAGGTCTACACATGCTAGAATGGGGTGTTCCTTTGAAAGGCCAACAAGAGGGTTACTCTACACATGCAATAAGGACATTCAACAAGACCAAACCAACTCTGGAAATGGCTTATGGGGGTCCTAAAACCCACTAAAAAATGCTTGAAACAAGGCTTGGAAGCATGCAAATAGGAGCCCCTTTGGAAGGCCAAAAAGGGCAACAAACAAGGCAACAAGGGAGAGGGTCACCCCTCTCCTTCTTAGGACCTCAAACCACCATCCTCACCACTGAAATCCCTCAAGATTTCAGTGGTGAGGAGGCCCAAACAAGGTGGCCCCAGAGCTCACCAAAATCACACAAAAATGGGGCCAAACAAGGCCTAAGAGGGGGTAAACGATCCCAAACACAAAAGTGGTCTTAATGAAGTATCTTAAACAAAAAAAAAAACATAACTTTTTTATGTTTTACACAAAGCTCAAAACAGCAAGCAAGATAAGCTAAAAGTGTGTGCAAAAACGGAGAATAAAGAGGGAAAAGGAGTTACCTTTGTAGCCAAAAGGGAACAGCAGCCTCTTGGTTGAAAAAAACAGTCCCTTAGCCCCTGAAAATGGCCTCTAAGCTCCTTAGGTTGATGATGGAGGTGTTAGGCCAAGAGTTTTAGTGTAAATGTGCAAGAACTAGACCCTTTTGAACCCTCTAACCCACACAAATGTAGAGAGAGAGGGAGATATAGAGAGGGAGTGATATATATATCCTATATATCAGATTTTTCTAACCCTGAAAAGGGGAGGAGAGGCCCTCTTTTTATAGAGAAACCAAGGGGGGCAAAGCTTCTCTTAGAAGCTTTGAGCAAAAAAGCCAAGCTTCTCTTAGAAGCTTGGAGCAAAAGGGCCAAGCTTCTTGGAGAAGCTAGGCAAAAGGGGTCAAGAGGTTCAAGCTTCTTCAAGAAGCTAAAAAAAGGATCAAGCTTCTTGGAGAAGCTAAAAAAGGGTCAAGCTTCTTGGAGAAGCTAAAAAGGTTCAAGCTTCCTCAAGAAGCTAAAAAAAAAGGTTCAAAAGGGTCAAGCTCCCTCAAGAAAAGGTCTCGGCCAGGAAAAGTGGCCGATTAATCAGAAACAGTGGCCGACCGACCAAACACAATGCCGACTGACCATCAATAGTGCCGACCGGCCATCACCAATGGTCGGTGGCAAGGAAACAAGGCCGGTGGCCTCAAGCCAAGGCCGGTGAGGTGTGGGGATGGCCTATAAGCTACTTCCCACCCTCAGAAGCAAAACCACAAGTGTTTGATACAAAACCAAATGCAAAAAAAACAAGTCGAGAGGTCTTGAGGTAAGGCGCGTAGCCGAAACCTCTGAGAACTCAAGACGAACACAAACAAGGGTAATCATCGAGTGTTCAAACGATGACGTCCAAGTCTTAAGGACGGTCAAAAATGGGGTGTCTACATCTGGTTTGGCGGAGAATTTAGTTTCTTCGATAGCTATGATTTCTGGGTATGCCCGAAGTGGATGAAAATCGGAAGCTGTTGAACTCTTGCGTGGTATGGCAGAGAAGAATTTGTTTTCTTGGACGGCTTTGATATCTGGGTTGGTACAGAGTGGACAATGGATTGATGGGTTTAATCTCTTCATTGAAATGAGGAGAGCAGGGGTTGATATTGTAGACCCTTTTATTCTTTCAAGCATTGTTGGAGCCTCAGCTAATTTAGCAGCATTGGAGCTTGGAGAACAGATTCATTGCTTAGTTTTATCTCTTGGTTATGAATCTAGTTTATTTGTTAGTAATGCACTTGTTGATAAATGTAGTGACATACTAGCAGCAAAGACCATTTTTTATACTATGTGCCGAAGAGATATAGTTTCTTGGACTTCAATTATAGTTGGGATGGCCCAATATGGACGAGCAAACGAATCATTGTCTCTGCATGATGAGGTGATTTCAGCTGAATTTTCTTTGGTTTTTTAACTGAATTTTCTCTAGATTAAAACCAGAGAAATTCTTTGATTTTTTAACTGAAGTTTCTCAGGGTTGATCCAGAGAAATTCTTTGATTTTTAAACTGAATTTTCCCAATTCAAGAATTTCAGTATTATGGAGATCCGGGTAGATTTCTGCAAATCATCACAAATCTCATGGGTAATTCAATCAAGGTAGCTTCTCAAATTTCAGTCCAACAACCCAGAGAAAATTCAGACCAACTAAACCAGAGAAATTCTCTGGACCAACCCAGAGAAAGTCTAGAGAAAATTCAGTTCAGACCAAAGAAAATTCAGTCTAAACCAAAGAATTTCTCTGGACTATGTAAACAAACCCATGGTGGTAATGCTGCAAATTCAAACAGGTGAAGAAATTATGAAAATATTAAGGAATTTTCTCTGGACCAATTTTCTCTGGACTAAATTTCTCTGGACCTTGGGCTCAATTTGGTGAGTTTCAAGGCCTGCCTTAGCTCTATCCGGAGCCTCTTTGGTCTTATTTTGTGTCTGTAATGCATGTGCAGAGCAATTACATTCAAGGCCTATTGAGGGGGCCTTTCATTGTATGCTTCATTGACCCATTTCAGGGCCAATTTGGTGAGTTTTAGGCTTGTCATATTTGATTTTCAGAGTTTTTTTTACCATGCTAAGTGTCCTTGTTGTATGTGTTGAGTAACCCCTTGCATGGCCCTCCAAAGAAGCTCATCATTTTTGCATGCATTGGATGCATTTCAGTGGTTGTTTGGGGTTTATTTGGCATGAAATACTTTTATTTTTGGCTGGTTGGGTGAGCCCTCATATGCTTCATATAGCTGAAGAACAACTCATGGTTTACTAGCCTATGTTGCATGTTGTTTTGGCCCTTCATGTTGGCACCTTTTGGCCATGCCTTGAACTGATAATGTGCTCATTTTCGACTGCCCTAGCTCTTTTTTTTGGGTCTTCTGGTTGAATGATGTTAGTTTTGCATGCTTGTAGTTCAATGCACTTGCCTGTCTTCGAGTTTTGAGGTTCGTTGCTTGCATGTACTGAGATATTTCCATGATTTGAGCCTATCATTCATCACATTTCAGAAATTTTTTGAATGCCATGTTACCATGTTTTCATCTCTTTAAATGCGTTTGAGAGTCGGGCATGTATGCCCCATTTACCGACCATTGAATGAGCTCCATTCTGTTGCATTCCGAGCCATCATTTTAGGCCATTTCCCCACTGTTTCAGACCTGCGTAGGACCTGTTTAGGGTCGGTTTTGCCTTTGGTGCATTGCTTTGGGTACCTCTAGTGTAACGCACTTCACTAGTTTCGGTACCCGGGCCCCTTAGCTTGCATTGGGTGCCATATTTCCATGATTGGGGACCATTCGGCATCATATTTCAGTGCTGAAAATTGCATGTTTGTATGCCATCTTTCATCCCTTGCCATGCTTTGGTAGAGTGGCATTTGATGCCTTAGGTTCGGTCCTCGGTATTCGTGCATCTGTGCACGCATTTTGGTTGTCTCATTTTCATCTAATGGCCACTGATGTGAGTGTGGCTGAGGTCCACTCATGTTGGTGTAAGTCCATCGTGCATTGTGTATGCCATTTCGGTCCATAGCATTGCGTATGCTAGATTATATGTTAGTCGCATTGTGTATGCCATCTCATTTGCATCGTGTTTGGGATAAGAGTTAGCCCAAAACATGGGAAACGAGGGACGTTTCATACTCTGAGTGACGGAACGTGTCTCAATTCCCGGTCGCCGACACTCCGGATTACCCATGATGGAGTTTAGGTCTTGTTTGTGTTTTCATGTGCATTCATTTCACATCGAGTCATGCAATTCGACTCCTCGGCCATCATGCATTGAGATGCGTGATTGGTGGCACGAGGATCGAGGACTACACTCCCTGAAGAGTAGTCATGCATACATATATGAAAATACTTTGCCATGCCCCTTTCTTGCTCTCTGTTGTAGCAAATCAGAAATCAACAGCCTTCTGGAACTTCACACAGTATTCCGGGATTAAGTGTAAACAGAGGCGAATCGGGGCATCGCAACGGATTTCGGCGCCAGGCAACTCAAACATGCATCTTTCATCATTCGGAACAAGAGCTGAGGCAGTCCAGTTTGTAGCCGGTCCATGGATTTGCATGCTAATTTACTTGCTTTCCTAGTTAAATTGTTATTTAATTAGGGTTTTATACTTATTCGGACTGTAATTATTATTCGGACTGTATTATTTATTCGGACCCTCCGAGTGAGGGCAATGTTGTAATAAGTGTGTGTGTGTGTGATGTATGTCTTCCAACCCCACGTCTTTCTCCCTTTTATTTACCAGCTTATGATGGTTAGATTAGGGCATGTTTCAATTAGCATACTTATGCTCGCATGTTTGCATTCATTCATCTGTATCATCATACTAACTGCATTTGTATTTCAATTCCAAATTGAATACGTGTTAGCTGTAGCATCATCATATGCCATGTTTAGAATAGCCGAGCCTATTGTAGTTGTATTTTTGCATGTGTTGCATTAGGCATTTCTATATAGTTAGGATCATGCGTGGATTTCTAACATAGCTTCTGTTTTGGCTTGGAGTACTCGGTAAGTATTTATGCTTTAGCATCCTTGCATGCGTGTGAGTGACTGCCATGATAGCATGCTTACCATTAGGCTATTTGCTTATGTGATATACCAGCCTGAATGCCTGTGTGTGAAGGTTGGGTTATTTGGATTGGAACAATTTATCAATTGTGAATTTTAAGCCCACTTGAGAGCGGCAAATCATCTTGTTTTCTAAGCCCACCCGAGGGTGGCAAATCCACGTCTTAGCCTACTTACGAGTAGCACCATCAAACCATTTTCAAATAAACTAACATGAGATGTTTTGTTCCAATTCAGGCGATCCAGTCTATACTTGTATGCTGTGCGCATCACATAGTAATTCTAGGCTAATAAACCGGAATAAGAGCACATAATGTTTTCAAAACTAGATATCATGGTTAGTAGAGGCCGATCTTTGATCGAGCGAGCGGGGGTGTTCACGAAGTGACCTTCCCTAATGGTACCCAAGTTCCCGAGCCGAGGCAACTTTGGTGATGACGGACATGTGGCCTTCGGCAATGAGTCAGGGTTTCCTAAATTCCCCCAAAATAAAATATTTAGGTGGCGACTCTGTATCTGGCAAAGCAGTCCATGTTTGGCACTTCTTTCAAAAAATCTGTTTTCAAAAATGATTTGCCGAATTTGGACTCTTTGATGATTCATCGGTCTTGCATTGCACTCTGCGAGATTAGATACAGGACCGTGACTTTGAGTCCTGAACTATAGTGAGCCCAATGAACAAAACGAGGGATTTCCTCCCAGGACGTTTGGGGACGTCTACAGGTAGTAACTGATTACTTCACTAAATAGGTGGAGACAATCCCATTGAAAGTTGCCACACAAACCCAGGTTATTGAGTTCCTTAAAAAAAATGTGATCCATAGGTTTGGTTTGCCTTAGTCCATTACTATCGATCAAGGAACTTTGTTCAATGGGGATGACATAAAAGAGTTTGCCACAAAGCATGGCATCCAAATTCTAAATTCTTCCCCTTATTATGCTCAAGCAAATGGGTAGGCTGAGGCAACAAACTAAATTGTGAAGAATACTTTGGAGAAAATGATTGATAATAATTCCAGAGATTGACACAACTTATTATCTGAGGCATTATGGGCTTACAGAAATTCTAGGAGAAATAGGACAGGAACAACTCTATATGAGTATGTGTATGGTCATGATGCTATACTCCCATTAGAAGTTACTGTGAGATCCAGTTGATTGGCTCAACAGTTAAACATCCTAATGGATGAATATAATGAAGCCATGTTAATTGAGTTGCAAGACTTAGAAGAAAAAATGATCTCTGCTTTCAATCATTTGATAGCATAAAAGAAGAAGGTGGAGATGAGTTATAATAAGAAAGTGAAGCATAAGTGTTCTCTGAAGGAGAATTAGTTTGGAAAACTATTTTGCCTCTCGGAACAAAGAGACCAGAGTATGAGAAATGGTCTCCTAATTGGGAAGGACCCTTTAAAGTGTTCAAGGTCCTTAAAGGAGGAGCATATCATCTTGCATCCTTGGAAGGAGAACCACACAGAAGAATAATCAATGGAAAATATTTAAAGAAATACTATCCTACCATGTGGGAAAGCATGAGATAAGAAAATCAAACATATGCATATATACATAAAATATTCTATTAAATAATTGTTGGGAATGTAGAAATCAAAATAGATGTATAAAAACTTCAGTCTTTTTGAAAATACAAAATGCAGTTGTTCCAGGCTTGTAGTATATTTCTGTGTTTGGCCTTGCTCTGTTGAAGGTTGGTGTAGACATCCCATTTTTGACCGACCTTAAGACTCAGACGTCACCGATTGAGTGCTTGGTGATGTCGCATATAGTGCTCGTTCAGAAGTTTCAGAGTCTCGGCTGCGAGCCTTGCCTCCAGATTTCCGGACTCTTTCGTGCCTTGCCTCGGTTTGCAAACCAGGCTCTCGTTTCTCTGTTTTCTCTTCCCGAAGGGAGGGAGAGGTCTCGTAGACCATCTCTCAGTGGCCGTAGGCTACGTTTCGCGGTCGTAGGCCATTTTTCCCATTTGGAGCCAGGTTTCCGGTTTTTCAAAGCCGACGGCCGTGTGCCTTGGTTCGGGACCACCTAACCACCTCCGTTTGCTCCAGTTTTTGGCATACACCTTATTTCCTCCCTTTTGAGGAACACTGTGGCCCGAGAGACCAACTTCGTGGTCGAACGCCACCTCCGGTGCTTAACAGCCCATTTTCGGGGCCCCGGGCCGCGCGTTTCGGTCCCCCGAACCTCCGTTTTGCGTCCGTTTTGGCTCATTTTTGGTGGAGACCTTATTTTCATAGTTAGGAAGCTTATAGGAGGGTGGGAGGCCAGCAATTGTTCCGAAAATCCAGCTTTATTCCTTCATCGCCCTCCGACGCCCGTTTTCCACACTAAAAAGCCAATGTTCACCACCCCGGGGCCACTTTCTTGAACCCCAAACCCCATATTTGTGTGTACACACCTGGGAGGCCACCTTTCTAGGTAGGCCGACCAGTAATTGTGCCTGACCCTTTTGACCCCCTCTTAAAATGGTCTTTTCTCTCTCCTGGTTCACTTTTTCTGGGTTTTAACCACATAGTTGTGTTGTGCACACATGGGAGGCCACCTTTCTGGGTAAGCCGACCAGTAATTGTGATTGACCCTTTTGACCCCTGGTCCGGCCGACCAGGGGAGGTGGCCGGCCGGCCACCTGAGCCTTCTAAACCTGGTCGGCCAGAATCCCCTCACCTGGTTCCTTCCAGCTGTGTATTTTGTTTCTCCCCAGACCCTGTATCCGGGGGATGCCCTTTTGGGGGGAAATTTGAATTCATTTTCCCCCCTTTTCCTCCCCTCCTTTGCCTATATAACCAGCACCCCCAGCTGCATTTAGAAAGGTTACAAAATTTGGTTTAAGGCTCTCGCATTCATCCTCCCTCTCCTTCTCTTCCAAGCCTCAAAACACCTTTGTCCTTGGACCATTTCTACACCAACTCATAGGCTATCAACCCACACTCCACTTCCAGCAACTTAAGGCTGTTTTTCAGAGTTTAGGAGCACCTTTCCTTGGTCCAAAAGCTGCTGAAGTTTGGTTCTACAAGGGTGAGTCATTTTCTTCCCTTTTCTAGTCTTTTTTTTGCTTTGTATCTAAGCCATACTTTCTTGCATTTTTGGGCTCCGACCCGAACTGCAAATAGTCATATTTTCATCCCCTTTTCATGTTTGATTAAGGGTCTTTCTCTGTTTGAGGCCAGCAGCTATCACTTGCCTCTTTAACTCTCTTTCAGGCCTTATTTTTGCATAGTATTTTAGGCCTATTGTTGAGTTGTTTTGGACTTTTCCATATACTGTAAAATAACTTTTTTTAAGCCCCTCTTCAACATTGTTGAAGGACTCTCCTCTGCTTGAGGCCTCCTGCTATCACTTGCTTCTTTATCTCTCTTTTAGGCCAATTTTTGCATAGTATTTTAGGCCTATTTTTGAGCTGTTTTGGATCTTTCCATAAACTGTGAAATATCTTGTTTTGAGCCCCTATTCAACATTGTTGAAGGGATCTCCTCTTTTTGAGAACAGCATCTGCCACTTGTCTCTTTATCCCCATTTTAGGCCTTTTCTTGCATGATAGTTTGGCCTTATCTTTGATTATTTTCGTGGCTTGATGTAAATGGTAAAGTGCCCTGTTTTGAGCCCCTCTTCAACTTTGTTGAAGAGCTCTTTGCCATTTGGGGCCAGATGCTGTCCCTTTGTGTTTAATCTCTATTTTAGGGCCATTTTTGCATGATAGATTAGCCCTATTTGTGTTCATTTTTGAGGGTTATTATAAACTGGAAATATGCATGTTTTGGGACCGTCTTGCATCTGTCTTCATGCTTCATGATAAAATAATGCATGTTTTGTATAGCTATACGCCAATGCATATGCCTAATTTTGTGTTTCGGGTTCATTCCATGCATCGGGTGCCATGTTTCCATAT